TCATTGGTTGAGCAATAAAGAAACGGCTTGGCTGGCCCTGATAGGTTAAAGCATTGGTGGGAGGAGTAAACAGAATAGAATTCTGGGAGGAAGAGGAAGTGAGGTCAGACCTGACAGCTCTGCTCTCTGGAGCAGAGACACCATGCTCAGCTCTACCGGGTAGACTAGACAGCTCTGCTCTATGGAGCAGAGACACCAAGCTCAGCTCTCCCAGGCAGCTCCGACCCAGGATGGAAGGAGGCTAGAATCTTCCCAGTAAGCACACCTTGGGATGCTTACACACATTACTAGAAATGGGCTAGTCCAGGTGCGAGAGTTAGCCGAGAAGAGGATAGATAGAAATGGGCCAAGCGGTGTTTAAATGAATACAGTTTGTGTGTTGTTATTTCGGGCATGAGCTAGCAGGCGGCCAGGGTGCTGGGGATGCAGCCCCGCTGCTCCATATTTCAACAACAGGGGTCAGATTTGCTCTCGTTTTCATTTGATCCAATCATAGGCATATATTCCTAAAAGAATAAGAAGGATTATGACAGGTCTCAAACCCACGCCTGCTAATGTATTCAGTTCACTTCACTCAATAGACGTAAATTCTACAGCAAGTGCGTCCCAGGCTGCTGAGGGTGAGGTGTGCAAAGAAATAAGAATATGGTTTCTATTCTAGTGGAGCTACTTGTTCACCACTCCTAGCGGCAAAATTCAAACAAATAGAACCAGAAAGGAATGGGGGAGGTGGTGACAGGGCTGAGCGGGTAACAAACGACATTACCCACCAAACCTGGTAGTTGGAGTTCAGTCCTGGGAACTCCCATGGTGGAAGCGGAACTATGGTGGAACCAAATGGGGCAAGCTGGCCTCAGATCTGCACACATGCCCTCGGCGTGCACACACATCACTTAAAGAAAGAGGTGGTAAAATTCTGAAGCCAAGCCGTCTGCCGTGGTTGGCCTGTGGCAAATTTATCTCCGGGCCTTGCTCTTTCCATCAGTAGAAAGAGGATGATGGGAATGCTTATCTCATGGGGTCTCTTTCTCAAAGGAAACACAATCCTCACAATACCCAGGGTGTGTGCTTTCTCATTCATGACCTAATTCACATCCCAACTACTGTTTGTCAACAGCCACCTACCTAGGGCGTAGGCCCCCCACACTGAGTGCACAGCACTCTCTCAGCAGAACCTCTCTAAAGCGCCCCCACTTCTGTCAGCAAGCATGCATCTTTGCACACTTAATTACTGGACACGTGTTTACTATGACACTAGGCGGGTACTCCCAGGAGCCGTCTGCGGACTTCTACAGCCCCTCTGATCAGCCTCAATTCCAGCCAACGTCACTTTGTCAGGAGGTGGAGGAACAAATGCTGAGCTGCAGTGGCAGCTTGTGGTACCCCAGGTGTACCAGGTGTGTTTGAGTTCCAAGAGAAAAACAAAACAAAACAAATTTTAAAAAAATCTTTTTCGTGGGGAGGGGGTTTGAGAAAGGAACAATGAGATGGTCCTGTATTCATTACACCAGTTTTAGCAAAATCCAAACGAGAGGAGCCTAGAAAGATGGCTCACTGGTTAACAGCACTGGCTGATCTTCCAAAGGACCAGGGTTCTAGTCCCGGCACCTACATGGTAGCTCAGAACCATCTGTAACTCTAGTCCCTGGGGATGACACTTCTTCTGGCATCTGTGGGCACCAAGCACGCATGTATTGCACAGACATACACAAGGCAATATACCTGAACAGATAAAATAAATAAATAAGGTTTTAAAAATGAAAGAAATTTTAACTGCCATCAGGATATTCAAAGTTCTGTGGCAAAGGTGATTATGGAGTTCCAGGCAAGCAGGGCCAAGTGGAAACTTTAGTTCTCAGAAAACTAAAGAAGAAGATCACAAATTCAAGGCTAGCCTAGGCTAGAGGTCAGGGCCAGCCTAGACAACTTGATATGTTTTAATATACAGGGCCAGTGAGAGACCGCTCAGTAGGTAAAGGATCTTGCTCCTGATTCTGACAACCCGAGTTCAATCCCCAGGACCCATGAGGAAGAGGACCGAACTGATCCCCACATCTCTTCCTGCTTACACACGTAACTCCTGGAATTCAGTAACACGCCAGGGCTGGGTTTGAAATCACACCCCTCCTCTGAGTGCCTCTATGAGGTCTTGTAGCCAGTCTTCTTCCCTGTAAGGCCCTGTAAGAGGAGGTGGCAGGAAGAACTCGGGGAGCTTGAGAACCTTTATCTCAACTGCAATGTTAGAGTGAAAACTGTCTGAGAAGAGCCCTTGAATACCGCTCAGCATCCCAACGTCTTCACCATCCCCATCTGCAACCCTGCATGCCAGTTACTCAATGGCTACTCTTTTGCAAGCGGAAAAAAGACAGCCACAAAGATACGCATGAAATTCAAGCTTAAGAATCTGATCCTTCTCCTGATTGACTTAATTCAGTGACTCACCTTTAAAAAGGGTAATTCCACGCACGGCATGCTAGTTGTCATGATCAAATCCCATAGTTTTGAAATTTCATCTTAGTAATTGGCTGCCGTTAGGCTTAGCTTTTTTTTTTTTTTTTTTTTAATTCTGACTTGAGACAGGAAATAAGGGAGAGGCAGCTAGTCTTGCAAATACCTTGGCAAAAAGAAACCGATTTGCAGTGCAGAGTGTGTGTGCCATGAGGTGTGTGAGTGATCCAAGGTGTTATTTATTCTCAAAGAGCATGCCCCTTCCAGAGGCTACCACCAGGGCCGCGGGTGCGCGAGCAAACAAGCGAACGAGACACACACATTAGCTCATGTGACAAATCACAGCGTTTGCCAAATGGAAGAGAACAAAAACTTGGAGGAAAACAGTTTGTTTTCAATCTACAAGGATATTAATAAAACTGAAGCCCAGCATTGTGGCTGCAGTTCCCAGGAAGAACTGTGTTCTCCAGCCAAAAGAGCAGAACAACAAACGCCTGTGTCTCCATCTCGTGATGTCATTTAAAACCCCGTTATTTATCATGAGCCCTGCTGCCTGGAAACACATCTCTCTGCAACTTAGGCACCAGAAAAGAACACCCGAGGACAGATTACCCGGGACAAGATTTGTAATTCAGACGCAATAAATCCAACGAATGCAATTTGATCCATTATCTGACAGCCCAAAAGCAAAAGCTTTCCAGAGAAAAAAATACAAAGGAACTCTAATTAAATTAAAACAAAACTAATTTGCCATAAGACCAGAAAGAGGGGAAAGTAGAGGAATATGCACACTTCATAAAAGTCTCTCAATACTAATATGATTCATGCATAGAGGGAAAGAAGGGGACAAACTATGCGACCGGACACCATCTGAAAATTCAGCCATGGGAAGGCTCGTCCCTGCTCAGTGTGCATTTGATCCCATGGCAAGAAAACTCCCATTTGGACATCCTAAGGGGTTAATGCTTTAAGTCCACATCTATATGATACTCAGCACACTCCAGGTGCAGGGTGAACGGCTTTACATACGAACGAATTGAATAGCCTCGACAGCCATGATCAATAGCATGATCAGTTCCATTCTGCAGCCCAGGCAGCAAGCAAAGCCAGGGGGTCCGACAGAGGACCCGAAGCAAGATTGTTTGTTGTTCACTGTACCTTGTCTGGAGACATTCCCCACTTCAAAGGCAGCCCAGGCAATAACACGTCCAGCCCTTAACTTAAAGGTGACCTAGGTCCTCCTTAGGAAAAGGCTGACAGAACCGCAAGTCATCACTAGCGTTGTCTCCTAGGGCACCACTGTTCATGGCCACCTCTCTCTTCCTCTTCTATTCCTAGGGCAATCTTTCCACCCTTAAGGAAGTGCTTTAGCGCATCACTTTGAACTCTTTAACCTGCAGGCACTGTCAGTAGGCATGAAAAATCTGAACACAGAGACTACTCTTTATCCTCGTCTTCCTACTTCAGGCTGGGCTCTTCATGGAAACATGTATGCACCAGGTACACACCTCACATGTGGGGAGGTCAGGGGACAATCTGCCCCTCTATTACGTAGGCTCCCTGGGTTGAACTCTGGTCATTTGGCTGGGAGGCAAGCACCTTTAGGAGCTAAACCGTTTTGCCTGCTACTTTGATCTTGATCAGGTACTTAAAATCAAGCACCATTGCCAGAAGGCTTATGATGACGGGCACTTAGCCATGGGCTTTGCTTACACTTTCTCATTCAGTTCTTTCAATTCTTCAAGTTTTTACTGCCATCCCCATTTTACAGATGGAATGATGGAGGCTGAATAGATCGAAGTAGCCGGTCAAGGTTAGGGGATCCTCAGCAACCCAACAGAAGTAAAGAGGGCCTTTGGGAGAGGTCCTTTCCACTTCTAGTTGGTCCGCTGCAAAATCTTCTCTTCTCTAGGCCTCAGTTTCCCACCCTTGGGAAGATTCGGCCACACTCTGAGTTCCTTTGTTTTTGTTTTGAGCGCTCAGCTGCTCTGGCTGGGCCTCCCGGGCTCTGCCCTGTTGTGTTTCTGCTGCTGGACCCAGTACAGAGGCAGTCCTGGCAGCAGCTCAGCGGAGCCCAGCAGAGGTTTCCTCCTTCCCCCGCACTGCTGGTGGCTTCAGTATGAACCGAAAGGGTGTGCAGGGGCCAACTGGCAGAAGTGCACCCCAAGCAGCAGGATTCTCCCACCCAGGAGCCTCAGAAGGGCGGACACACCTTCGGCCTAACTCACTGCGAAGGTTGCTTTGGGCACGGAGTCACCAGCGGTGTCTGGTGCTAGCCCCCATCCGGGCAGGGCAGACGGATTTGGTGAGAGACTGATTACCGGGAGGTAATGAATGCTCTGTGTGGTCCCATGCCAGCAGCTGACCGCCCAGGGACAGGAGATGGAAACACGGATCTGCAAAAGCCAAGTCCCAACCTCACAGCCTGGACCTCCGAGTAGGCTGCAGAACCAGCCCTGCCAAGGGAAAGGCTGCATGCAATTGCAGTGTGTGTGTGTGTGTGTGTGTGTGTGTGTGCGCATGTGCGTGTGCGTGTGCGTGTGTGTGTACGCTTCCTTCAAAACCTGCAAGACTAGGTTCTAGAATCAGAAGGGCTTTTCTCCAGGAAAAAAAATATTCCCTTTCTCTCCCCTCCCTCCCAGTCTTTCCCCCTGGCCTAGGGCAATGCTGAGGCCTGGACAATTCCAATCACAACTGGATCTTTCTACTACTTAGTAGCACAGCGGAGGATTTATTGGAGTGGTGTTTGTTTTGTTTCGCTACTATTAAGCAAGACTGCTTCATAATCCTTTAAATGTTTTTAGCCAAGTCTTATTTACATATCCTGGCCAGCAAGCACGTGACTAACCCAGGACTCTGCAGGAAGAAGGCGTTTGGAAAGCTGGCACAAACAACGTCAGTAGTGAGAAACAGGACGACTGTCTCTCGCGCCAGCGGGACGCAGCACTCTCAAACTGGAGACGCACTGGGACGAGGAGAAGCTGTGGAGGTAGGTTTTGAAGAGGCCAGCATGGCTTTCCTGACCCCTTTTTTCCTCAGGATAGACCAATGTCCACAGCATCTTCAACATAGCAGCAGCGATTCACTGTCTTATTAATCCTAAGGCTAAGACTTGCTGCTCCTCTCAAACTCCCAGACCAACCAGAAAACAACTTATGTTTGCGTGGACTGTCTGGAAATTACCAAATGCATAAGTATGTCTGTAAATGAATGCTGTCAATATTTACTAGGTGATTTCCTTTTTGGTTTTTCAAGACAGGGTTTTTCTGTAGTGTTGGAATCTGTCCTGGAATTAGCTCTTAAACCAGGCTGACCTCGAAGTCACAGAGATCCTCCTGCCTCTGCTTGCCAAGCGCTGGGATTAAAGGCGTGCGCCACCACCGCCTGGCTACTGTATGATTTTTTTTTTTAAATGTCACAGGATCATATCAAACACCAGCATCTGCCTTTCACTTCATAGAAAAACTGCATGGAGCCAGTTATGATTAATATCACTTCTTAAAAATGCAGCTGACGAGCCAGGAGAAAGTTAAATGGATCGGAAGCTGAGGTGGCAGGTGTTGTGTTGTTGTTTGGCTTTGTGAAAGAATCCTTAGCCCCAAGATGCAGAGCTAGGAACAAGGACTGCTCAGCAAGGAGAAATTGTTTAACATTCTCCTGGAAATACCAGTGAGATCTTGACTGGAGGCTGTCCAGTTCTCAGGCAAACATGCTACATACTCCTTCATATTCCTTCCTTCCTTCGTGTGTGTGTGTGTGTGTGTGTGTGTGTGCGCGCGCGCGCGCGCCTCTCTCCTATTTCTGGCTAATCCTTCCATACAGCCAAGCCTCACACCCTATTCAAGCCACGGATCCTATGTAAGCAGACATTTTATTATCCTTAATGTTTAGGGACCATATTAAGGTCCTTCTATTTCCCTGTCTTGTCCTAAGAGGAAATGCATGAACATAGGACTCTAATAACATTGTTGGTGGCAGCTTTTATTTGAACCTTTAAATGCCAAGGACAGCGCATGCCACTCACTGCACCAAAATACTGACAAGGTATTTTCCACCAAGTTCACCTAGCCCTTCTAGAAAAAGGCAAGCAAGCAAACAAAGGGGATACCATACCAGGAAGTTTGGGGGGTAAGCGGCGGGGGCAGGGCAGTGACTCGGGAGGGTGGGCGGAGGTTTCAGTTCTTTGTTCTGAACTGAATGTTTTGGAGAAACCTTTGCCCCTTATGTTATTCAGCTGGGATCACCAGGACCGCTGAAGCCGAATGGATTCGGGATGTGGGAGGGGCGCCTCAGCTTTAGCCGGCCACTTTTTTTTTTTTGGTAAGCACTTGCACACTTCTGGTGAACCACTGTAAAATAAAGAGTCCTCCCAAATGTTTTTGTTGTCTTTGGCAGCAGTGCAACAATTCACCCGCAGTGCTGGGGATAGAGTCGCACGCAGGACTGCTGCAGGCCGGCATCTTCTGATTTCTATTTATCCAGTTGTTTTTACCTGAAGAGATGCCAGACAGAGAACATAAAATATTCCGGAGGTGTGTTAAATTTATATCTTCACCCCGTGTTCCCCTCAAAATACATGTGTGTGTACGCACATGCGTGTGTTATTTGCATGTCTAACCTATATCTGAAACAATACTCCTCTAAAGCATTTGCTGGCTTTGTGCTTGGACTTTTGTTTCAAGCTTGAGAAGTGTAGCTTCCAAATTATGGTAATTTTTATCCATGGAAATGCAGTTTTAGACTAATATTTATTCCTGTTTGGAAAAGTCTGGGGGAAAACATGTCCTAACACATTTTATGCTTACTTATTTAATATTCTTGATCCATTTTTTCTTCCATGCACATACTAAAAGTGTATAGAAAAGGGATATATATATATATTTCTATACATATACATATATATCAAACTTGATACAGTTTATTCAAAATAGCTTGACTTTCTTTTGGGGGCTGTGGGATTATTGGTAGAGGTTATTTATATTACCTATAAAGCAAATAAATTATACTCCTGAGTCAAGAATGAAAGGGTAAGAAGTACCTTGAGAAAAAAGCCCACACACTGTGCACTATTACACGGGCTATCTTTGCGGAGGACGACATTTGAAGGAAGAGATTGGATGGTTGTTCACCTGCGTGCCCCAGCCAGCAAGCACACCATGACCAGAGCTTGTAGTCTCTGAATGGTAGGAAAACAGAGTTTAGCATACAGGCCACCACACCTGCATTCCTTGAAACCCTTGCGCCCTAAATGCCTGGGATGGCTTTGGGCTTGTCCAGCAGAGAGCAGTGAAACACTGTCAATAAACCGACTTCTGGAAACCAAGCCAGGGGACCGCCAAAGCAGAATTGGCAGGCCCAGCAGGCTCACAAAGAAACTGCATTTGTAGGTTTAAAAGACAGTCACTAAAAGCTGGCCACACTGGAATGATGTGCACCATTGCATTAAATCTTAATGTCACTTGGAAATAAGGAAGACAGTTCGAAGGAGAAGCAGTATCTTCCACAAGTGGCTTCTTCTCTTAGTTCCACTACTCCAGCAAGGCTGCCCCTTGGCACTCAGGATTGCCTTCAGGTCTGCTCTGGAATCCTACCCCCCACCTTGGCAGATCTTCCCGCCTCCTTGGCTGGCGGCACAATGAAGGCTTGGGCAGTGGAAAAGCAGTTTGTCCACCACACAGGCTTGGAGACAAACACTGTTGCAAAGAGCCATCTGGGGAAGCCTGCAAACGGTTTGCAAAGACTAGAGTTCAAAATGAGGTTCGCAGTGGGGGTGCGAAGGGTGCTTCCAGGTGAAGTGATTGATGGTAGTCAACAGGAACGTGTTAACAGTGTAACACAAAAAGACGCCTGCGACCCAAACACCTCACTGCTAGCTGGGGTGAGGCTGGGGTGAATTCACCTAGAGTAAATAGGTTCTTTTCCCACAATAGCCCCATGATCGAGTATTAGTGAGTGAACCCGTTGCGCTTCATTGCTTTTAAGAAAAACATCCATTTTCACCAAAGGGAATGTGAGGCTTTGCAGTTCCACCAGACGGCACATGGGATTTGATCCCTTACTTTTCTTGGGTGCAAAGGAGTGCAATCTTTATTTTTATTTTTTTTAAGAGAAGATATCAGAGAAGGGATCTAATAATCCAGGCGGATCGTGCGTTTGCTCTCCTGGAGTGGAGATAATACTGTAAGCAAACAGTACACAAATGTTCTTTTGGCCAGTAGATGGATGCTTACCCACGCCAAAACTTTTCCCTCCTTGTCTTCAAAGTGCTGGGCTCAAATGCCAGCCTCTGCATGCGGGCTGCCAAAATACAAAGTGAAGTACGGGGCAGGACACTTCAAAGAGGAGAGGGCCCTGTGGCACCGTGCCCAGAAAGCACGCCGTATAGCAGAGTGGACTTTGAAGAGACCGATTCACGTCAGAAGTTACAGATACGTCTTAGTTTTCTCCCAGTGATCGGTGTCATTTGTCCTTGCTTGGCAAGCTCTTCTCAGCCATTCTATCTGCTGGTCTTGAAGAAGTCACTCCCTCTCTACCCTTTTCCAACATCCTCTGTGGAAAACCTCCCAGAAAAAAAAGAAAGAAAGAAAGAAATAGCTCCAGAGGGCTAGCAAAACTTGAGCCAGTATACACCAGCTTCCAGCTGAGGGGGCAGACTCAAAGGTAGAGCAGCAGGTGACAGAGCACTCCGGTTTCCCATTCCGACCTTTCCCCCAGCTCAGAAAGCCTGTCTTTAACTAACTCTAACTCTTTTTCCCCACCCCCACACTTTTTTCCCTTATCAGTTCAAAGGAGAACAATGAATTCCTCAGGCTCACAAGAATGTGACAAGGTGTCAAGAAAGGCAGCCAGGAAGGTGATGTATGGCCCAGGCAGCTCCCATAAATCACTTCCCAGCCAGGGCTACAAAGAAAAGCCAGTCACCTATAAGCCAGAGCCTGAGGCCCTCACAGCCCACCCTGTTTCAGCTACAGTGTCCTTAAAGAGGCTCACCTGTACCCCCCACCAGCACACACCCTTCACACCCTTCCCATCCCTGCTGCTCCAGGGTCAAGCCGGGCTCTTTCCCTGATGTAGAACACTGTAGAATTAAATGTGATTTAGGGACGTGTGTCTACACGGCTCTCCTAAAGGCTGTCTGGGAGATTCCAATGTGGTCTTAAACTTCAGACTTGAGTGGTGAAGATGATTTTAAGACTTCAAAAATCATAATCCAAAGCCAGGAGAAGCATGACTTTCCAGGCTAACCCTGGGCTGCATGTCTCAAACAACTAAAACCATTTGGAGAAATTGAAAATTACTGATCTAGAATCCCTTTCTAGGCTCATAGAACATTGATTACTTGAAAGAGGAATTCAGTGTTGCTTGTATGTGCTAAAATGAGGAATGAAATGGTGTCTGTTGTCTTATGCAAAGTAACCTATGGGCAAATATTAAACATCAAAGACATTTTATGCCCATGTTTTAATATATTGAGCTCTGCGCTATGATTTGGGAAGGAGCATACCATATACATTTTGAGTTCAAAAACTATGGAAATATTTAAATGCGAACGACTGACCAATTTCATAGCAACTTTTAGAATCCATTCTGTGGACACCATAATCCAGAAAATTCCTAACATTTCTTTAAAATACCATGCGTGTACAGTGAGGTGGACCACAGCAGCTAGGTAAGCATCTGTAAGCAGATGGTATGCGATAGGACTTCCGCATTTGAGAAGCTGACTTGCTCCACTCCTGCAGACATGGTTAAAAGACAAAGGCTTCCCAAAGAAACAGTCTTGTCAAAAACCGAAGACAATAACAAGAGATAAATTCTTTCCCTGATTTTCCAGAGAGACCAGAAGGAGCCAGAGAGCATGCAGCTCTATTGCTTCTCTCCAAGGACTTTTTATTTTGAATAAAATATTCTGAAACACACTGGGAAAGCAGAGCTCTATGCTACTTACTAATCCTACCTTTTCTCCCATTACTATGAAAATAATTAGAA